CCCCAAAACCCCAAAACCCCAAAACCCCAAAACCCCAATATTAATAATACTTGTTGAAAGTAATTTCGAATATGCAATCAATAGAGAAGAAAAGACAGAGAGTGTCTGAAGACCCTGATTCTTCATCCAAGCCTAGGCTCTCAGGAAAAGAAAGGGCTAAAATTCATAGAGAGAGAAAGAAGAAATATTACGAAGATCTTGAAGCAGATAATGAGAAATTTAAGATTGAAATTAAAGATCTGAAGGAAGAGATATTAAAGCAAGCAACTGAGATAAAACAACTTGAAGAAAAATTAAAACAAGCAGAAGAAGCCTCAGCTAGTGCTGATGCTAAGAAAATTATTAAGCTCCCTCAACTTAGCTCCTTCTTTAATATCAATAAAGAAGAGGAGAAACAAAATCCTGCTGAGAAGGAGGATTTAGATAAATCGCCTTGAGAATCGAAAGAGGGAAAAGAAGAGCCAAATGAAACTGGAGTCTTCACTGCAGATCCAAAGAGGATGGAACTTATGAAACAGCATCTCTCTGAAATTATTGAGAACATTATCCCTCCTGAGAACAAATTGATGCTTGTACTTTTTGAGTACGTCCCTGTTAGCAAATTCATTCGAATGAAGAACCTCTCCCGGTACAAATACTTGGATAGGAAGTCTGTGGGGATTCCTTTACTTGACGAATTCATTGAATCCTATCTCTCTGACTCCTTAATAGACTTCATCGAAGCTTACGGGAAGAGGTATCTCAAAACTCTCCAGGAGGTAAGACGTGTCGTTAAGAAGCTAGTCTACATCAAGAGTAAACTTTCTCAAACCCTAACCTCCCTCTATGACATCGATAAAGAAGTGGCTACATCTCCTGAGGCTCCTTTTGAAAGTCAGGACTACCTGAACATTCTAACTCATTGCTCAAAGATGAAGGAGTCAGATGTGTTCTCAAATAAAATTCTGTGGCATCTCGACCAAACCGGCCAAGATGAAGAGGTTCACGGCCTGAATGAATCCAACAGTTAAGGTAAGTGGAGAGAAAGGGGAATTTTGGAGAGGAGTTAAAATTTTGAGGGTTTAAAAGGAATTTTAGAGAAAATTTGGAGGTTTTGGTAGGTGAGGTTAGGAAAGGGGTTTAGAACATAATGTGATATATGGGGTTTTAAGTCGGAGATTAGAGGGTTTAGGGGAGTTTAGAGTGTTTTAATGTGGTTTTAGTGTGTGAAATAGGTCAAGAGAAGTCAAAGCATGAGGATGGATGTGTTTCTTAGTCCTGAACAGCAATAATTTTGATAGATAAAATTATATTGTGCTTGAAGTTGCGTTTATCTGTCATAACCCTTTTCACTTATCTTTTCTTGCATAAATTGCTTCAATTTTTAACTATATTAACACAAAATACCAAAGCTTTGTGATAAACCTTTAGAATCTATATTTTATACAAAAATACAAGATAGAGTTTGATCTTGATAATGATTCTTTCAGTTTTACCAAAAGAGCTAAAATCTATAATGTCAAGATATAAAAATGGCAGCTTAGTCCTTTCACGAAGGAAATATTTAGTATGTATTGAACTCATTTGGAAAATACTGCTAAAGATTGTAAGACTCCGTCATTTCTTTGCTCCTATAAGCTTGTTCCCATTTATAGCTTCAGCAGATCCATTTAGCTGAGATCCACTAGGATTCTTCAATTGTTACGTCAGTGATTGTAACAATTTCAATATGGTTAAATTTTAAAGGGGTTTTGGGGTTTTGGGGTTTTGGGGTTTTGGGG